ACACACATACACAAATAGAATCGATCATTACAATCATGATTCCATCCACCAGAACCTTGAGAGAGCAATGAGAGATAAGAACAGTACATTGACCACTCTTAACAAAGAGAAGCTCCAGCTGCATGATGAGAATGAGGAACTGATTGCACGTAAGGCTCAACTGGAGTTCTCTCTCTCTGACTTACAGCAGATAGCGACTGATGAAAAGAATAACAGAGTAAGAGAATATACTAATAATGCACTGATAGTATAACGGCAATATGATAAATATACTGATAGTATAACAACAATATACTAATAATATACTAATGATTTAGGATAAATATGTCAGGGAGTTGGAACGGCTTGAGTCTGATATCAAATCAAAGGAGTCAGAGCTGAACTCAATACTCCCTCAGTACCAACACCACAAAGGACAGGAGGAGAGGCTTAACGCTAGACTGAAGGCTTGTGAGCAGCACAGGTCTGAACTGTTTGCTAAAGAAGGAAGAGTCCAAGAGTTTTCAACGACCGAGGAGAGAGATAGGTTCATTAATAAGGAGATAACGTCACTCCAGCAGTCGGCAGCTAATAAGGAAAAACAAGTATTTGTTACTTGTATTGATAATTATTAAGACTCTGTCTTTCTCTTTGTTTCTGTAGATTCAGGAGATCAAACAGGGAGTGTCTCAATTAAAGACTAAAGTTGAACAGCAGACAAGAGATATACAAGTAATAGACCAACCATACACACACACACTCACACAGCTAGTGCATGTACATGTACACTATGAACTTGCTGTTGCTATTATTATAAGATGGATTTGTATGAATAGGAGAAGACTAGCAGTCTTGAAGAGACTAAAGAATCATTAGACAGAGTGAACAGAGACTGTTCTCGATTGAAAGTGCAGAGAGAAGACATTTCTAACCAGAGACAGTTAGTTATTGACAATAGATTGTATGTACCTTTATGCTTCTTTTTCCTCTCTCTAGGGAGTTATGGAGGAAACAGAATGTCGTCAGTACATCATTGATGAATACAAGAGAGGAGTTAGTTAAACACGAGAGACATCAAAGAGTTCTAATGGGAAAAGTACATCAGTTCATTAACACTGCACTACATTATGAAATGTGCTTTTCTTTAGGCTGTGGGTCAAGGTCTTGATGCAATCAAACGCATCACAGAAGAGCATCACTTAAGTGGAGTCTATGGACCACTCATTGACCAC